CATAGATTTTGGGATTGGTCAGCAATGAAAAAAGGTAAAGGATATGATGTTAAAGACGACGTTCAGTTTGCTATAAATTGTTTCTGGGTAGCACACAGGGAGAAGGAAACCATACACATCGCGTTTCAGGGTATACGCAAACAACGGACAGAGTAAAGACTACATGCCACCTTACATGACAGTTTACGCATGGTATAGAAACGCTTAGTCGTCATTTTCAACTTCTTTAGCATATTCGTCAGGAGTTGTCTTATATTTGTTAGGAACTGTCTTTGAAAGTATACCACCTTGAACTTTGACAAGTTTGAAACGAGGTCTGACAATAGTAGTTTTATCTTCTGCTTGCAGTGTGTACATTTTGCCATGTTTGCCTAAAACTTCATAATATTCTCTTGTATACTTTCTTCTATTTTTACGAACACGAATGTGAGTACCTGTCGAGTTCCCATTGTTGTCATAGTCAATAGTATTTTCATATGGGTCGCGTTTAGGTATTTCTATTTTTACTTTGTCACCTTTCTTAAGTTTGAAGCCTGGCATTCTTTCTTGTTTGTCTCTTTTGACTAAACTATTAAATATATAGTCTTTCTCTAAGTCGGGGTTGTTTTTCATTTCTTCGGGGGAGTGGTTTCCCAAACCTTTTTGTTTACGGCTATTGTAAATATTTAAAACTTGTCTCATCTTTGCCATGGAGAAATGTCTATATTTGTCGTCATATGACATTTCATTTGCTTCACCATTGTGGTTGGTTTAAGTCTCTTAAGATTTTTATACAACTGTCAATGACACCAAGAGCAGAATGGTTTTGGTCGACAATGAAATATTGGTTTACATTTTTTGAACGCAGATAGTTTTTAATATCGTCTGATTTGAAAGAACTTTCATAGTCAGATGTCAGTTTTGTTGGATGGTATTTGTCAACGAATATTGTCAAAGCAGTTTTCACATCTAAAATATTTTTGGACCATAATGGTATGGCTTCACAGTATCTTGTGTTTTGACCGACAAATATTAGCCATATGGTGGTCCATCTTCTCTATACCTCGGAATGTTTTCCAAGATATCCATAAACCAAGCATTTGGTGTTGAACTAAAGATTTTTACCATGAGTGCTTTCTTTGTCGCCTTAGAAACATAGGGGTCCTTGTTTGAATTCGTCATTTTTAACCCATAAGAAATGGGTTTATTTGGCGCAATAGCAGGAGTCGCATCTAGATTTTTGCCCGCAGTGGGAACACTAGCCAGAGGTGCATTTGGAATTGGAAGGAAGATTTTGAGTACTTTAGGTATACTGAAAGAGAAAGCACAACCTATTATACAAACTGTACAGAAAGGTTGGGAGGTAGCACGAGATGCAGCAAATCTTATTCCAAATCCTGAAACAAGAGGAAAAGTTCAAGGATGGATGGACAATGTAGGAAGACAAGCAGGAAACTACTATAACAAAGCAAATGACTACTATAACCAAGCAGGGCACTACATGGACCAAGGTGAAAGATTCTTTAACAGAGGATATAACCATGCACAACAGTGGGTAAACAACAACCAACCGCAACCACCTCAAACGTGGGGAATGTAAATTTTTTTACTGAGATGAAATGAACAATACAGCATTGAGACAAATGGGTTCAAGATGGATTTGTCGGCTTCCAGCAGTTACACAACCACGTGTTTGTCAAGTTCTTCCTATACCTCAGGAAGTTTTAGACCGACTTAAAAAACCTAAACAACCAGTTGAAAACAAAACAAACTAAAATTTTTTACTGAGATGAAATGACTGAAGAAGTTGAAACGGTAGATTTGACACCACAAACAAAAAGTTCAGAACCATTGTCAAAACCTGTCAAAGAACTTACAGATGAAGAGAAAATTCAATAATAGAAAGTGCCAGGTCTGGAAATACAAACTCTAACTACAAAGTCACTTTTCATAAAAATGGAACGGCAAGTATCTCAAAAAAGAAACAGACTCTCACAAATAAAATATTGAAGTCTGAAGGAGCTTTCGAGACAACAGATGGAAAAGTTTACTTCACTGACCAACAGCTCATTATAGAACATCTCATTGACTTAGAGTCGAAATATTCTAAACTTTACAACAAACACAAAAAGTTGAAAGGAAAACAGAAACAAATGGCATATGATATTTATGAAGATGTTGACGACACAACTATTCCAGCAAGTGAGGTAAAGTCAGATGAACCGAAAAGTGACGAAAAACCAATAGAAGAAGGGAAGCCAAAAACTGAAGATAAACCAAAACCAAAGTTTAGTCTGGAGACTAAACCAAGCCAACCTTCATTAGCTGGTATGGGTTGGCGTCAAAGACTTATGGCAGCCGGTGGTTATGTAAAGTAAAGGAAAAACATTTTTTTTTATTTTTATAGAAATGCCCCCGTATAGAATGGACAGAAAGTCTGCTAGAATAAAAGCAGAGTTAGAAAGATATGGTTGGAGAGTTTCAAAGAAGTTTAAATATAGGAAGGGAAAGCCAATAAAAGTCTATGACAAATTGTCTGGTCTTCGCTACGAAATGGACTTAGAAACAGCACGTGCAAATTATCCAAACAGATTAGAGAGGTTAGAAGAAGAACGTCTTATGGACATGCCTTTCGATGTTAGTGAACCTCAAGTTGAAGGACACGACGGCTTTGCCAGATTCTACTGGAAACATGACGAACAATTGCATCCTTTGAGAAGGAAAAAAGGAAAAGGTGAAGACGCACATGCTCCCATGGAAAGAACAAGATATGCATATGAAAAGTACCGTGAAGTTAGAAGTAAAATTACTTCTGGTCGAACCTTTACAGTAAACTTTGACGAAGGAAAGAACAAAGAAGGCTTCATGGGTGTACTTGCTGCCATACAAGACGGAAATAAGAAAGGATACAATCTCAGACTAACCGTAACAGATTTGGACGGTCATATATACTATGCGCATGGCAATGTCGCAACAGCCGCACAACTTCTTGACGCTTTCAAGACTACAAAGAGAGAACAAATGTTTGACTCCGACTCAGATATTTTGAATGCGATTGAAGGAATTGCAAGCGTGAAGTTTGAATGGTACCAACCCAACCCTCAAGCAGTCAGACAACATGCTGGATACTTCCCGTTCATAAACAAGTCTGACATTAACTTAACCAGGTATGGAATTTACAATTCAATTGAAAAAATTGTCAATGAACCTTGTATTCTTACATGTCTCAGGAACTCTGGTCTTGTTACAGATGAGAAGATGAAGTATCTTGAGTCATGTGTGAAAACAAGGTACATTCTTAGAAATCAATTGACAAAAATTGCACCGTTGGCAAATGTGAATATCCGAGTCAACATTCCGACTGAGAAAGGTTCTTCGCACGATGACTATGTAGTTGACTTCAAATTGCCATGGTTGAAGATTGTACTTGTCCACAACCACTTCATGTTGAACGAAAGTCTTACAAACCCATTGTTCGGAAAAGGCAAGTGCAACATTGTCAGAGCTGTTAACATTCTTTTCGAGAAAGGTTTGTTGGAACCAATTCCAGATGACAAGCTGACAGAAACTTTTGTACCAAAAGACGAAACAAACTTTTCATTGTTGGTAAGACCAAAAATTGTTCCAGACAAAGTTCTAGCACAGAAGAAGTACACAGCTCCAAAAGGAGTTGGATTGTTCGGATACCAACCTGAACCAGAAGAACTTCCAATGAGGTTGCAAGAACTTCAAGATGCTATAAACAAACTTCCATTGAGGCATCCAATTGACGTCAAATTGTATTGGAGAGCATCTGAGTTAGGTCAGAAGGTTTTATATGAAACAGGTTGCTTCGACGATGTTTATGAGATAACAGGCGAGGTTTCTCAGAAGATAAGAGACTCACTTGAATTTCCACAAACTGGACCCATTGGATGCGACAAGTTCGACTCATATGAAAAGATATACTATGTCGACCTTAACGCTGCGTACATGAGGTTCGTCCAATATATTCCAACTGGAATTCCAAACGAAAACGGTGAGTTCCCGGGAAGGAACTATACAGTTGGAAAAGTCATACAACAACTCTATGATATTAGGAAAGCTTCAAACCCCAAACTTGCAATGACAATCAAATTGCTTATGAATTCGACATGGGGATATTCCATTAAGAAACCTCAAAAGATGAAGAGTAAACACTATGAGAAGGTCGACAACTTTGTTGAAAGGTTTTCTCCTTTTGTTTTGAAGTACGAGTTCACCGAAGGTCAAAATGGCTTAGTAACCACAGTAAAACCTATTGTCGAACATTGGTCTTATCCTCAGTTCGCAAAGGCAGTCCTTGACAACTACAACAAATTCTTCTCGGAAGTCAAATCCAAAGTGAAGGTTTACTATGAGAACATCGATGCACTCATGACGAACGAAGAAGGCTATAACAAACTCATTGAAATGGGTTTAGTCGGTGAAAAGATGGGTCAATTCAAATTGGACAAAATTTTCACCGAAGTTCATGTAATATCGAAAAGGAAGTACTGGGGTGTTAAAGAAGATGGTGAAATAGTTAAACATTGCATGAAATAAAAAATTTTTATTCGAATTTGAATCGGACAGGTCGAGTTACACCATTCTTGGTCTCAAACTCATATATAACCTGTTTGTTTGTATTTTCGTCGACTATGACACGAGACACGAACATTGACCAAACGGACAAAAAGTGTCATTTCAGATGGTCCCGCAGCCAATCGCATTCGAGCACTTCGAAGAAGCCTTACGTTCCAAGGGAGAGGGTGTCTGGTGCAAGGCAGAGGTCATGAGACTCTACGAGCAGTACATCCTCAATGCCTGGGAGGACAAATCGTCCTTGGAATGGCAATTCTACCAACTCCTCTGGGACGACCTCCTACGCAACTGGGATGACGAAAGAGTCCAATTCAGAGGTCAGGAACTACTTGTCCAAATTATCCTTAATTTAAGCTACTTATCCAACTAAAAACTTAAATTTACTCGGGGTTTCCCCCTAAAATAAAATTTTTTTACTCTTAGAACCACTCGAGGTTCTCCTTACGGTTGTTGAGCTTGTCACCGTCAATGTGTCTGACCTTCGTCTTCTTGTTTGGATTTGGAACCCATTGCATACCGACAAGCCTTCCCATGGAAATTGTACCGTAATTCCGAAGGGTAAGGCTCAAGTGTCCCAAGTTGTTGAGGACTGGGGTAAGAACCTTGCCGGTCTCCTTGTTGCGGATTTTGTATGGGTAGGGCTGGGAAATTTCATAACCGTCATCCGCAACAAGGGTTGCCCAAACTTCCTTTTCTTCGTGTTTCTCTTCTTCTTCCTCTTCTTCTTCGTGTTTCTCTTCTTCCTCGAAAATTCCTTCTTCAATTTGGTACTCACGAAGTACGGTGTTGCATGTTCTGTCCTTTCCGAGTACCTTCCAGATGGTGTCTATCTCTTCGAAGAAACGGTAGATGAGTCTGGCAAGGTTTTGGTTCTCTTTGTTGTATTGGCGCAAGGTTTCCGCGAAATCGTTCAGGACTTTCTTATTGGAAGCTTGGTTCGTGAGGACTTCGACTTTGAGATTGGTTATCTCTTCCATAAGACTACATTGGATAGTCTTAATGGTGGTTGTCAGATGAGCGTTCAATTGGGCAATTTGAATTTGAACTGGGCGCTTGTCTGGCAACCTTGAAAGGACATCTGCCATTGAGTTTGGCTTCGGTGCTTGTTCGGACATCGAAAAAATGAAGTGGTTTGAGAATGACGGTTTTACTTCAAAAAGCTTGTTATGACGGTTAAGTCATACAACAAGTTTAAAATAATATCTTGTTCTTCTTCTGAACGTTTGTTGTCTCTTCCGATAAAAGTTTCGAACATGAGAACCAAAAAACGTTTTTTGAGATTGCGGAAGAGTTCAGGCAAACGTTCATATTCTGGATATGTTGGGAGCAGTTCGAAACATCTGAGCTGACTTTCGGACAAAATTGGGACAATGTCAACAAATTCATCTTTGGTCGGATTGCTTGAAGGTAAGTCCCTTACATGTAAGTAGCTCTGGTAAAGTCTTCTCATTTCTGCTAACTTTTGGAGTATAGCTTCGTAGTTTAGAAGTTTTAATTTTAATTGTCTTATTCCACTCTTGACATCTAAACGGTAACTATCCATGAGGTCAAGAGTAGCTTTGGTAGCTTTAAGTGGAGCTATCTGTTCCTTGACTTCTGCAATTTTGGTTGCAATTGTGATTTGAGCTCCTTCAAGTTCGCCGTCTATGTCGTTCTCAACACCTTCAACCATAGCTTGAAACTCTTCATCGGTCCATTGAGTTTGGTGTGGGACGAATTTAACTTGCTTCATTCAAAAATGAAAAAAATGTTTTTACTCAAAGCGTGCCATATAGATGTTTACTGTAAAGGTACGATGTCGCCTTCTGTGTTTATGAAGAACGCCTGACCCGAGAAGTGTAAGAGTCCTCTGAGAATTTGGGCAATTCGTACAGTTGGGTTCTCTCTGTTTGGAAGTTGTATCCACGGACGCTTTGCAAAGAACTTCAAGAGGGTTTCTTTCTTCATCTCTTTTATGTCGTCTACAGGAGTGTTTTCTGGTATTTGCAGGACAATTCCGGTGTCAATTTCAATTTTAAGCGCACCTCTTCCAGACACCCAGCCTGCAATGGTCTTGTTTGACTTCAGATGGCTCAGGTAGTTCCTAACTAGCTCATTTATCTCTATAAGGTAGATTGCCTCATCTGCTGGGTCTATGTCGGTCATTGTTTCAAGACAAGTCTTTTACTTTTTCAAGACAAGTCTTTTACTTTTTCAAGACAAGTCTTTTACTTTTTCAAGACAAGTCTTTTACTTTTTCAAGACAAGACCCGTTATTTTTCAAGAAATTTTTTGGTGTAAAGTTCTCAAATTTGAGAACAGTGGTCTTGATTGAAGACGATACCCGTACTTTTTCAAGACAAGTCTTTTACTTTTTCAAGACAAGTCTTTTACTTTTTCAAGACAAGTCTTTTACTTTTTCAAGACAAGTCTTTTACTTTTTCAAGACAAGTCTTTTACTTTTTCAAGACAAGTCTTTTATTGTTTCAAGACAAGTCTTTTACTTTTTCAAGACAAGTCTTTTATTGTTTCAAGACAATGTCCGACGTACCACCAACCGAGTCCATTCCCAAGCCAGAGGAACCTAAAGCACCAGCCCCTGCACCTCAGCAACCTCAGTTCCAGCAAGTACCTCCACCAAATTACTACCAATTTCCACCTCAATGTTACTACCCACCACAAGGCTTCCCGAACTACCCTCCTCAGCCTATGCCTTACTGCCCTAACCCTTGGATGTTCATGTCAAACCCTCCACCCCAATTCCAATTCCAATCTCAATCCAAGAGAGACCAAGAGTTCGAGGAAGGTCTGAACCGTTTACGCAAAGAGTATGCCACAGCCCCTATGGAAGATGACAGGCTTTCAGTCTCTTCCCTAAAGTCGACCAATTCGACTCGTACCACAGATTCGGTTCGTGACCGTGAAGACTACCTCAAGCAGTCTGAGAGACTCTTCATCTTACAGCCATTTACAGTTGGAGCTCTCAAGAACATGCGCAATTACGAAGGTCAAACACCAGCTGGAGACCGCAAAACAGACGTACTCGCAAGAGCCGTCCAGCTCGTCAAGACAAAGACTGAGATAGTCGACTTCATTCTTGCAGCTTGCCCATACAAGTAAAAAAATAAACAATTACGAGTTAAACTTTTTATTCTTTCTTTTCTGAGTTGTTTAGAGCTGGTTTCTCTTGTAGGAACCTTTCGTACTCTTCCATGGTCATGTAATTGCGAATTTTGTACGCAATTCCAGGTTCGTTGTTTTTGAACCTTACGTATGTAACGCTTCCATCCTCCTCAGGGAAGTAAGCTGCTAACATCTGACCAAGTTTTCTCGGTGACTCGGAGCTCATAAAAATGTCACTTTTTAAACGTTAAGTTTTTAGTCTTATTTTACCCTTTGTTTACCCTTTGTTTGTCAAGGTAGTATTGGAGTGCAATTTCTCCAAATTCTCTGTGTCGGAGTTCTTCAGCATTTTCCAAGGTGTACCTGGAGAACTCAAAGAAGTTGTCAAGAACATACTGCCATGCTGCTCTTCTGAGTTCGTCGGTATTTTGGAAGTGTTGCACCTTCGAGTCTTCTGACATGAAAAAAATGACACTTTTTCATTATATAACTGTTATTTTTTGACGAAGAGAACTTTTGCACTTCGTAAAAAAATCCCTGAAATCGTGAAAAATTGCGAGTAGGTAAAAAAACCCAGTCGCCAAAACTCATGAAAATCGTAAAAAAAACTCATGAAAATCGTGAAAAAATGCTACCCCGACTTTTACAGGGGTTGCCTAAAACTCATGAAAATCGTAAAAAAACTCTATGAAATCATATCTTTTATACAAGATAGAAAAAATAAAATTAACGCTAGTTTTTTTAAAATATTTTTTTTTATTTTGTATGTAAGAACAGGAAATGACAAGCACTGAGTTTGAAACAGTTAAAAAGATAGACAATGAGACCAAAGTGGTTAGAATTGGTGATTTAAACGTAAGATACTCAAAGAAATACAAAAAATATTCTTTGTCAGACATTATATCTCCATCTGGAAAGAGAGCAAGCGACTGGGTTAGAAATGCTTCTACTCAGAAAATTTTGACAAGAAATCCTGAGCTTATGATATCGGTAAGATTCTATGGAACTACAGCATATCTCATCGACAAAAGTCTTATACCACTAGTTTTGTTCTGGATTGACCCAGTTGTTGGATATAATTTCATAACATATGGTTCATTCGATACGGAACGTTGCAGTGAAGGCTTACTTTACATCGTTCAGAAACCGAAGGACTTCAATACAAAGAGATATAAGATAGGAAGAACATATAATATAACTCAAAGATATGACTCTACAGTCAATAGAGTTAAGGTTGTGTTCGTTAACGATATGAGAGCTGCAGAAACAGAACTACTTGAAAAGTTTGAGAAAATGTATGGTGCTCCCACGAGAGGTAAAGAAACGTTTGAAGTAGATGAGATCGACAAAGCTATAAAATTATTTGACGAAGTTGCTGAAAAATACATGTAAAGCGTTTATTTTTGGTCTTTTATACAAGATAGAAAATAACGCTAATTTTATTTTTATTTTATTTTTTATTTTGTATGTAAAGACAGATATGACAACAACAGAGAACACAACAACTGCTATCGTTCATGAAGCCATAAGTGAAGAATACGAGTGGGTTCAGTTTAACAAACAGTTACGTCTCATTCGTTCGGTCAAAGATGACATGTACCAAATGCAAAGTATTTTGACAGCATGTTTTGCACCAGATACTAAGCTTCCTAAAGACTGGTTTAGGAACCAAAGCACACAAGAACTTTTGAGCGAAGCACAGCGAGACATACTTTTTTCTGAAAATCGTGAAGAACAGCGAGTAGGTAAAAAACCCCAGTCGCCAAAACTCTATGAAAATCGTGAAAATTTGCCAAATGGTTTGAGAGGTTGGTATGTACATAGACTTCTTGTAAATGCTGTTGCAATGTGGGCTTCACCTCGTTATGCTTGGTATGTTTGTAAACTTCTTGACGAAATTCATAGACAAGAACGTGAAGAGCTAGAGAACAAGCTTGAATCCAAAGACAAAAACATACAGAAAAGAATACCACGTTCGGTACCAAAAGGAAAGGAAAAGAACTATAAGTATATGATTTACACTGAAGAGATGGAAAATGAAGAAGACAGAGATATGGTTATGTTGCATTTAGTCAGAAGAAACAACAAAAGCTTTTACGACCTTGCTAAGATTTACAAATCTGACAGAAATTGGTTCTATCGCGAAAACTTACCGATTTCAATGACACCGAATGAAGATGTTAAACAGATAGTTCAAGATACTTTACCTCAAACACACTATGATATGAAAGGTTGTACAATACTTACATTCAAAGAAGACTTACCGCTACTGAAAGAAAAAATAACAGAGTATTTTGACAACTTCAAACAAGCAGAGTAAATGAACTCTTTATTTTTCAAGCTTGACTTTTTACAATTTGAACTTTGTTTGCGTAGATATGAATTCTGAAAGAAGTATGAGGGTCTTGTATGACTTTGTACTTCTCCCATAGTTCATGTCTGTCAAACTTACCTGCCATGGACTCTTTCATAAGTTCCATGAAATCGTCTTCGGACAATCCGGGGAAAAGTATGATATCAGTAAGTATTCTCTTTACATCCTTACTTAAACTCTTGGCTGTCTGTACACAAATGACAACTGAGATGTTAAAGTGTCTGAGCTTCTTAAGAATTCGACACATGTCTTGTTCTCTGTTCTTTAACAAAGGATGAGAAGCAAAGTCATCTAAGATAAGAAGACATCTATGAGGGTAAGTCTTCCAATCGTAAGATTGCAATTTCTTCGAAATGTATTCTATCTCTTTCTGTTTGTTTCTGAAGTGTTTCTTCTCTAATATTCTCTGCATTTCCTCATTTGGGTCTTTAAACTTAGAATTGACATACTCATTTATAGCATTGTACTTCAAAACTCTTCTTTGGTACTTCTTTATCCAATCTAACAACTCAGAGTCTTTTATACATACTAACTTAGACTTCTTTATAATATCTTTGAACGAATTGACGGTTTGGTCAAATTGACCAGAAGTACTACAAATGACTACTAACTCATAGAATGGGTTCTTCTCATCTAGTT